TTATAAAATATCAAACTCACTGAGTAACCCATCACAGAGAAGACTATATCTTCTGTAACAATTTGATCTTGCCTGTACACTGGAAGGCCCCATGTAACAGGCTGTTATTTGAGAATGGAATATTATTATGGTGTGTCCGAGAAAATTTAGGGAACCCTTTCCCTTTTGACATTCCTGAATGCTTGCAGGGATACCGTGTTTTTGGAGTCGTTTGAAAACAAGGTTCAGATGCTGACCATGAGATTTTCCGTACGGACTTGCAATCAGGTGGTGATCAACATGTGTGTACAAAGTCGAGATCGCTAAGTGCGTCTTCGAAATGTTTGAAAAGTAGGTGCGATATTTCTTAAGGCGAAAGGCATTCGAAAAAATTCGTAGATTCCGAAGAGAGTAATGATAGCGGTCTTATGTTTGCCGTCTGCAGCCAATACAATTACAGTAATCTCCCACCAGAGTCAAACTGACGTTCGTTATCACAGGAATCTAAAAAAAAAACCAGTACGAATCATCCGGGGATTGATAAACTAAAAAATAAATCAAGAAGCGGCAGCAAGTGATCGAGAAATACATGTAATCGTTTCAAAAAGTTTGGTTTGATTAGTAATGTGCTTATAATCAAAATCCACGCGAAGATTATTGAAGGGTCAAATAAGATGGGATTATCACAATGATCAATGATTTATAATGGAGATTTTTAACAAGCCGCATTAAGATACATAGGAGTAACCGTTGGTTAATAGCTTAACTTATAAGCAGCCGAAGGATTTTGTGCCGATAAATAAAAGTGATCAAAATTGTAGGAAGTTTGATATTGGTATTATCGTTGCCTCAAGCTAGAAAGTCATTTAATGTCGGTATGTTGTTGATTTTCAGTTGTATTCGCATTAGTAGGTCAACTAGAGGAACGGAAGTATAATCATGGAGGGAAGAATCTTAACTGATGTTTCAGTTTGTTTGTGAACTTAAACACAGTTTATTTAGTTGTGAGGAGATTTTCTCAACTTCGTTATTACTTTGCCGCAATAATACTTATAAGATCCAAACTAAGGTTTGGATTGATGGACAGCTGATTAGGTGGGTTAGATACGCGCCCTTGCCCGTTTGAAACCAAAACAAAGTATTTGGGTAAGATGACGGTTCTATAATTCATCATAAATTTAAATGTACATTATTACCTAAACAAATATGACCACTCAGCTATCCAACCAATAATTGTTCAACTGATCAAATCTAAATTACAATAAATAAGGAAGTTGAAAAAGGATGCAAGAAAATTACCAGTCACAACAAATAAATGTTATTCTGTCCTGTCTGGATAGATCACGTACAGATTCGTTCAAAAGGTAATAATTGGTCGCTCTATAACACAGAGTGTTTTCAATTTGGAAGAGTGCTTCAATTCACAACGAAAATGCACAATTCCAGTCGACACAGGTCAAGCAATCAAAAGCAGGAACAAACCAAAATGACTGCCGCCAAGACTAAGTATGAAGTAAAACAACATAAGTGCAGTTCGGGAAGAAACATGGAGACTTAGTGAAGGCGCAATAAAATAAAAACTATAATAAAATACAAATATTAACAATTCAAATGTAATCAAAAAGTTAACAATGTGCAACTAAGGGAATCAATAGGAACAAAGTGTAAGTATATACATGGAGGGATTTTCACCAACACACAACACATTCAAAATGGATCTTACACCGGCCCCCAAAATCCCTCCAATACCACACAAGCCACCTTGATGCCTATGGTCATGGTTCATTATATAGCATATCACACTATAGGAACGAGTAGGACTTACAACAGTACGCCTACTCGACCTACATACATTGATAATACGAGGAACTAATTCGAGCCTTCAAGGAGGCATATTTTACTTATATCTCTTCTAACTAATCCACTATTCGTACGAAGGGAGGGATTTTCACATACGCATAAAACATTCAAAACGGATCTTACAATACTACTAATCCACACGGAGCCATATCTAAACTTAATTTAAGACATCAGAATACCGATAATTATATTTGTTTCGGGGAGATAGATGACGGTGGTTCGTTGCACGTGAGGGAATCCACGAGAGACATGCTCTAAAATTAGTGTTTTGATTTGTGATGGACCAATTGTTTATATTCATACATAGGCTGGTGGTGTGTACAAGTCAGTTGCAAATATCAATTTTTTATGAGCTTGAGTGATTATAAGGCGTTGAGGACGGTAAAACTCATGTGCCACAAAGATGGATAACATGGTGTTGTACGATGCTTTCGCCTAAATCTTCGTAAGATTATAAACAGCGAGTGCCAGTCATGTGATTATCAGGGAGAGCACAAATAGTAACCAAAGCGAGTACAACTCTCAGCCCATGTCTATGATAATGGGATGAACCATTGGCAGTGTTGGGGTGAATTCGACAGCGTTGTTAGTTTGCAGAAGATTTACTCGACTGTTTATACTGATGAATCGCATGCATATTTGTGTCTCTAAACCCCGAATTAGACTGTAGGGTCTGTGAAATGTCACTGAGCCCTAGCCAGATCATCCGGTAGTTGGGTCACTAAATATCGAACAAATCATCGGCCCCTTTCAAGGTCAAGGACAACCAACGCACATCAGTTAATTGTATGTCATGGACTGGCCCATGCAGTGGTGGTCACACTATCTTCTCTGTACTCATTTTTACTAATATATTTCCGTAATATCGTCATATGTACATTACGGTCTTCAAAAACGCATAGTATCTTGACGAAGAGGTAATCGACGTGAGGCGCTGAGCGCGAGGCGTGATTTTGGCGCCATCTTTTGATCGCACCACTCTCATCTAACTGGAGTAGGCCCCCAAGCATTCGACATAGATCGACGTTGATGATCTATAAGACTGACAAGGTTTTAAGATGTTTACTAAACTAGTGAGTGGTACAGAAACATACTGAAATCATCTATAAGAGATAAAGATGACCACAGTATGTATAAGATATAGTAATATGCAGTAGTGATAATCAGAACTAAGGAGCGACAAATTAATATCGAACCTAATATGGTTCTCCTGAGAACAGTACATATTCTCATAGTAATACGTCGTCACTTGAAGCTATCAAATATGCATAATGCACAAAACCGTCTTGGAAATGGCTCACATGAGACATAATCTAAATGAAGATATATACATGTCAATTACCAAAAACGTGGGAAATTATCCAGCAAAACAGCTTAATCTAAGTAAATGTCAATCGATGAAGTTAATGTAAAAAAGAGGGTTAATAACAAGCTGCATTTCTCTAGTCAGTCTCCTCAATGTGAAAGTGGTATCACTGTCTATACATACTCGTCCTATCGTGACAACCAGAACTACGGTGTTTAGTGCTTCTGGAGAACATTTTCGGCTGAAAATAAAATAATGTATTCTACCCGGAAATTTATGAGTCACACAGAATAAGCATACTTGTAAGGCTGACCCATGTCATACCGATCCATTCTTTCTTTCCTTCACCATCTCTGACCTTATCTTCGTATTGAATGTTGATTTTTCTGAGTAATTTTATGTGCCTCTTCGAAGTTTGTGTGGTTAGGAGCTGATGCCACTACAGTTCCACGAAGAGACAGTTTCCGTTTACAAACCTCCGTTAGCTCGGGTCATTGAGTAGTTAATGACATTGTGACAAGTCTATACTAATGAATGACATGAACTCATTTTCAGCAACAAAAATGCGGTGAATATCTTTTAGTAAACCAATGTCAAGAGAAACACAACTCTTACAGTATGTGGCGACATGTTTTCCATTTTCCACCTGTAAGTTGAAGAATAGTTTGCGAAGTTGTTCGTTAGGATTTGCAGGAAGAACGCTTACGTCTTCGTCAGTGTCGAAGAGGTAGAGAACTTTGGTCATCACATCAGTGTTGTGTAAAAGACCGCTATGTTCCCCAGATACGGTTGCCACTGACGCGTGCCAGTGATGCTTCTCGACGGTTTGGAGATTGGGGAACGGAAAGGTCTTCTGTGATTTCTAAAAGACTTACCATGGGCGTCTTGACATCAACACCAATCCGGTTTATTTGCCTATCATGATCTAGAGACAGATCCTTTCCATGACAAGTTTCTTCGACGAGTTTGAAAGCGTCTGCGTCTACAATGAATATTAAAATAAAGAGTGAGAGTGTTTCAGACATCCGTAATTTCGTTCAGCGTATGGATGTTTATAGATGCGTAAAGAGGACTTTATCAAAAGTCCATTGACCAGTGACCCCTCACACTGGTAGAAATATTTTTATTACTGAGTGGTTTTGCAACTCGATGTTAGGGAAATGTTGATTTAATATTTGTCAGTCGGTTAGGTTTCTGCGTTTAAAGATAGCCTTCTTTAAAATGTCGTAGTGTCCAGAAACATCACTTGTAAACATGTGGGGTGCAAAGTACCTGTTAGAATCGAGTGGCAGTGCCGTCACTGCTGCAAGGAATTGGGCATATGAGTCTGTTACGCTGTGCTTATTGAAATCAGCTCCTACGTAGCAGAACCAGGCTTCTATATTGTGGGGCCAGAATATCATGAGTTGGAAGGTGGCAGGCAAAAGTATCCTAATCCCGAACAGCCCTGACTTCTGTTCCATCCTGATGGTTTAAGCTGGTTAGCAGTGGCAGAACTTCTCAGCACGGCGTACCCACTGGTGATCTGTTGCGTATATATGACCGAGCGACGTCAGCTGTGGTGCACCCAGTAAAACTAACCAGGCTAGGACCAATGTTGAATCCTCATAGCACTATTTACTTTGGGGATTTATTTATCTCCAAACTTCCCATTTTGGAGGGGTTTTGATCAAATATTAACAATGAAAACGTTACATAGCTTTTACATCTTACTACATCTAAGCAACGCATTGAGCCTCATATAATGTCCCAAACACAAGGCTGAGAGAAAATTTGGTTACACTACTGTATCTGAGAAATTTAGATATCTCTGGCTTTCATAAGGGCTATTGGACATCTTGAATTTTTCGGGGATCAAGGTCACACTTGCTTAATTTGTTTCGGAGATGAGGTGTGTTATGTCCATCAAAGGTAATAATTTGTGTTGGGATAGAGAAACAATCGTTTTATATTCTTACGCGACGTCAGTTATGTCTTGTTTGTGTGTCCGAGAGGGTGAACGAAATCCAGCGTAATATCTTGCGCTTTTATTATGACTTCATTCAAGTAAGCAACGTCGGCATCGTTACTTGTCTGGTGACAATCGACTAGTTCTACATTGAAAATTGGTATGTAAATTAGTTGAGGTAGTTGTTTCTATCTACACATAGTCCTGATTACCATGATCACACGATAACCCAGGTCAGGTAACGTACAACTAAGTGCCACTTAGTTATTCAAGTACATTAGATCCAACTCGATATTCATATCTGGAAGTTGTTTGTTATTTTAGAAAACTGAATGCTCAGGATTCTCTGGGAATTCGTTTTAGTGTGGGTTACCCATTTCTATTGCTAGTGTGACTTGGGAGTTTGACGACCACTCCCACAAAGTTACAAAAGTCACTTTCCTGTCTTTTACTTTGAAGACTTGGTGAAAAACGAGTGAATCAAACTCTGACATGGACAATCTGTCAGCCTCAGCAATGTTTGAAATTTAATAGTCATGTCTAAAAATTTGAAGATCTGGAATATGTGTGCTTAAAAAGAGATGAAAACATAGATGTCGCTTATAAATAACTCAATTAATATTATTGCTAATGCCCTGAATATTTTATTTTTTGTGTCCTTATGTTTTGTAAGTTCTTAGGATTATTCTAATCTAACTTACAATTCTTTTACTATTGTTTTGAGTCGTTTCCGATGAGACTATAATTTACGGATGACCTTTGAGCGACGCCAGAGTGATCTTGAGAGTGTCTACCTACTTAATAGGGCTAAATAAGGGTTATAAAGCAGTTTGAGGAATAAAAATAATGGTTTACAGTTGATGGTAAGGGTTAGGATTTAGATTTATGGTTTTCATCACGAACTGACGTCAGCTAAAATGCCAAAACGTTATTTGGACAAATGAGTGAGTGAATTTCGTGCCAAAATCCAAAACCTGTTATCCTAAGTCTGATTGGTTCGTCCGTAGAGTGTAGTCTCGCGGATACGGCTAAAGTAGTGAATAAGTTTCAATGACTCACTCGTTCGTTATTTGGAGTGATCATTCGGTTATATGGTTTTGTGTACAAAGTATTCAGCAAAAATATTGATTATATACTGACGTTTTTGTGAATTTGTAGTAGTAATACGCCGAGCGACGTCAATTCGTTGGAGGGGTATTGCCATAAAATATATTAGCAGCTGCGAAAATGACAAAATTGAAAATCCCGAAATAAATTAGTAGAAGATCGATAAATAGGTGCCGTAGTAAGATGCATGAGATGATTGAAAGAAATAAATTCAACCACTAATGGTTGAAGTCCTGCTAGAAACTTTTTCCATACATCCTTTTATCAGCGACAGTGCGGAATAGATACAAAAATCTTTACAGTTGTGTACCAAATTAAGATTATCAAATTCCATGATCACCGAAAGTTTACTTGATCTTCAGAAGTGCTATTTATAACGACACACTAGTATCCTGGTGACAGAAAGTTGGGAACCAAAAGACCGAAAATGTGACGACTGGGGATGTGATACTGCATCTAGTGGACAATTCTTACTCACCAAGCATTTTGATTTTTTTTTCATATCACTTTTAAAAGCCTTGATATATTCAATTATTTTCGTTTCCAAACCTTTGAAAATCTCATGTTACTAAATTGAACTCTAATAATCCCAATCAGTGGTTGAACGACCTGGGTAACATGGCTTAAAATAAATGACTGGTGCGACTGTATTCAGTCTTTATCTCCCCATGGATCTTGAGTTTGATATTACACAGATTTCATTCTTTTACCTGACTCCTCATCTTTGGTTCATATTTTTCTGTTCGGTTTTGCACCCCAATTGATACAATTAGGGACGTTTATTTTTTCGTCTTGTCAATATTGTTTTGTTGTGATATGAAATATGATAACATATAATGGTGTGAAATCACAGTGTGGGGCGGTATTGGTTTTTAAATTGGTAACTAAATTTCTGGTGTACACATACAGTTCGATTGTAATTTAGTATGGGTGAATTAGAGTCCCATAGTGATCTTATTGATAATCCGGAATTAATATCGTTGTTAAGCAATTATTCGCTTAACTACGTATGAAATCCTGGATATACTTTCTTTCTACCCTTAATATCACTATTTATTAGTCTTTGAATGATGTACGTTCCCATCTGACTTCCTAGTTATGTTAGTGATTGATTAATATTTCATGAATCTAAACTCCAATTACGCCACAGACGTGTTCGTTTGGTAGCTGTGTTCCCGTCTTTAGGGACCATAGTTTTAAACTACGTCTACTTTAGTTAACAACCACCAAGTGCTCTGGTACGACAGGGAGTATAGTCAGCTCTTCCTTTCAAAATGTTCTCACTTGACCACGTGCATATCATATAACCACTTCCAGGGAAGTCTTACTCACTGCCTTCTCGTGGCATTACTGTTGTTTACGAAACGGATAGGGTGAAAAGCGAATGTCCGGCGCTTTAACCGGGTCGGTGGATACGAAGGATCCGCCTAGGGGAGTTGGAAAACCTTGACTCTGAACCAATAGTGCACACTGGATCCAGGATCCTGAAGGAACAAATGACGTATGAACCTATTGTTGGTCACCAGCTACCATGGGACTGCATCTCCTTACATTAATCGATCGCCTTGTTGATCAGACCATTAGGTCGAATGCGCTGGGCGTGGTCCCTTAAGAAAATCACCTGCTTCAGTCTGGGAGCCCAGGCAATATTCCAGCCCTCACTCAAATCGAATGATTTATGTGGCGCATATCTATTCGGTGCTTCCTTGTACCAATGTTTATGTGTTTGAATAAATTAAATAAAATTAGTTAGCGAATAGCACTTAGACACTGTATGATCATTATCCATAGGAGGAATTCAAATATTCACATAGTGTTGTGCTTGGTGTTTTCCGATTTGGAAAAATTCCTTTATGGCTATTCCTGTTGTTTGATTAAGAGAATGCTAATAACTTAAAGATGCTTATTCCAGGTTTAGATTTTTTCGTCATTGTATTTTTTTGAGTTTGTTACTAATAAGGTCAATTTTAACCGGAATATGTAACGCTATTCAAATTAGTTCTTCATATGTTTTACTGTTCAGCACTTTCTTTTGGATTGCTTTTTCTTGCGACCTTGATTTTAGTTGTCTTTCTTCGGTTGAAACTTTTCGTAGATAGATCATGTCTTGACATTTCTTGCTATTTGCTGTATTGGTCATTTGCTTGCTTATTTTAATTATCATCTACTGATATATTTGCAATCCTAAATTCTGTTAGTTTGCGTAAATTGTCCTTTAAAATATTTTGTCATATGGTTGTGATTTGCTTTTTTAGTATAATTATCCTGATCATATGCCTATCACACATAATAATGGGTTTGAATAACTTTCATCACTGACTTGTGCTTCTTTTCAATTTCTGAGTTTTGTGAAAGCGTTTTTTCATTGCATATCGCTTGCCATGATATTTATATTTAAGCTACTTTCTTTATTCGATTAACCTTTTGTCTTTCCCTTTGAACACATTTGAACATTTAACCAAATATCTTTCAGTAAAAATTACTCAATTGCTCAATGTATAAAATAATTAACAAAAAGCGATTATTGAAGAAACAGTTGATTTTGACATTCTAACCCTTTACACGGCTACATCATTGTTTATCAACTTTATGGCACTTCCTACGGCTTCGTTCATTATATTCATAATTCTTTATTATTTCAAGTCCGAATGTTCCATAGAATTCACGCGATGTTTATTGTTCAACGTATATCAAATATACATTCCTGTTAATTGATTAATAAACTTCTAATTAATTCCTGTTTGTAAAGGTGTTCAAATCGTCTGTTTATGTAGTTCCAGATATTACATAAGGCGGGTCTTTCCTCCTGTTTACTTCTCTGTCTAAAAGCCTTATTTCGGAACAGAAGTTAGTGGTTTGATGCATTAAACGCGTTGTCCTCATGTCTCTATAATTTCTACGGAAGAATAATTACAAAAGGCTTTCTATTCACTCCGAAACAGCATAGGACTAAATTTAGTTTCTTGACTGCCAAAGTTATACTTTAAACCACAAATATAGAAGGGAATATGAATCACAAACTGAAAGATGAATAGATAATAGATAAATAGTTCTCAGATGATTCCTAAATTCGTCCCAAATTGAACTTGAAATGGTGGCAAACAGGCAGAATTGTAGAACACTACAACAACAGGAATTCATATTACGTTAATTTTTAAGTTTTGGTTGAAAATTTATTTAAGGGAAGTACACAGAAACTAGTTACTAAGTATGGTAGATTTCTACCACGCTATCGACTGACTATTTGAAGAGTGTATGGTCAAACGTCTGAAGACCATTTTCCATAGGAATCTTTCTCTTCAATAAAGGACTAGACTTTTAAGGTAATATTTAAACCCCACTATATGCTACGATTTCCGATTCAAATCTAAAACATGTTTCTAAAGTTACATAAATAACAAGTGGACCCTTATTTGTATCCATATTGTATGATTATCCGTAAATATATATCTCGTCTAATTTTTTAGAATGAATATCGTGCTTCGAATTTCGAACTTTTGATTTCTTCCTGATATGTATGATTTTACCAATGCATGATTGATGCTATAAGTAAAGATTTTAAGTTAAATTTTACCACATATTTAACTCCAGTCGCTATCGAACTACCTGTACATTAATTGGTCGCCTCAACATTGTACATGCTTACCGTTGTGTGGCTCATGGTTCTTTTTTACTTGATTTCTTCTTAGTTGTCCGCACAAATTAAATCTTTTCAACTCTTTTGTTTTTCTGGTTGGATAATGATTTTCGGTGGATTAGTTTTTATATTCCTCACAGGATGATTTTCTATCTTATCAAATATATGTTTTTCAATTTACACTCGTCATTCAGCCAAAAGACTTCCATACCTCATTCT